CGTGCATCGCAAACTCCCCTCCGGCTTGCAAGGGAGCGGCCTTCTTCGGTTTGTAACAACGCCGCCGTCCCAGTTTGCAAATTGCAAACTCCGCCAAAGCCAGCTCCAGCTTGCAGAGGGAGAAATGCAGCGGGAAAATAAGGGTGCAAAACAATTTCGGACGGGAAGGCCTTGGGAAGGTGGGAGGGACTGGCGAAGCAAGGCCTGGACTTCCTCGCATCCTTGGATTCCCGGCTTGCTGAACCCTCCCCCCCAGCGCCTCTAGCTCTGCTGTTGCAAAGATGGAAGGAAAAGAGAATCGGAACACAGACCTGGGGGGCGCGCACCCCCTCCCAGGTCCTATTGTTCCGGGATTGCGCGAAGATGGGCCACTTAGCCCCCCCAAGAAATTCCGCGCGCAGAGTGGGCATGGGGCCCCGCCCCCTTCTTAAACTCGGGTTCTGTGTGTAATGGGGGGGATCTGGCATCTGGGACACGCCCCCTTGAACTCCCCCACCTTCAAAGACAGAGGATCCTATTTGATGACCAGGAGCGAGTGCCCTCTTTTGAGTCTCGGCCACGGGTTTGGGCCGTTGCATGCGGAAAATCGGATGTTTCCTGGTGTGTGTGTGTGTGTGTGTGTGTGTGTGTGTGTGTGTGTGTGTGTCTGTGTGTGTCTGTGTGAGAACGTGGGCCCGGTGCGTGCGTGGTTGGCTGCGTGTTCTCCCGTGCATCTGCCCCTATCCTGTGTCGCCCTCACGCCTCACCTGCCCCGGCCCCTCCCCCTACCCGGCGTCCCAGCGTGTCGGGATTTTTCTTGTGGGATTCCTCGCTCTGCACCTTTTCTTCCCCACGGGTCAGCTGAATGCCCGTGTACACACGTACCTGGCTTTGCTTGGGCTCATGCAAGGGAGCCTCAGCCCCTGGGGATGGACCGGATTCGTGTTCACACTTGTACCTGGTACTTTCCCGGCCCTCCGCCCTCCCCCTCCCGTAGGGGGAATAATCATCCTGGGGGGGGCGGCTAGGCTCGCTCGGCCCCCTGAGGTTCAGTGCCGATCCAGCGACAGGTGCCCATGTGCACCTCTGGGGTGGGCCCACGGTCTGTCACCGCCACGCAGGGAGGTGGAGGGGACGCTAAGAAGACCACGCCTTTTGCATTTTCAACTCTCCGAATTGATTTGCACCCTCTGCTGTGTATGTTTCTGGTTGCATGCCGGTGTTTGTAAACGTGAAACTATCTGGGCTGTATTTACTGGAGCTCTGCAGTGGGGGCCATTTCTATGGCTGTTCGGTTGGGCACCCCATTCTCTTGTCATTTTCCCCTTGAGAGCCCAAGGCTCCTTTGGATAACCCCCTAAATCAGCTGGAACTCTCCCCCCCACAACTCCTCGGGGATTTCCTGATCACCCTCTTGGAGGGCAGTTTGAGGGGACATTCTGATATCTACCCCTTGCTCCCAGCTTGGTCTATGGCAGCTCCAGGACCTCGCACCCTGAGACGGACATCTTACACCGACAGGCCTACGCGGCCCCCCACCCACTGCAAAGCTATGCCACCAACCACCACCCGGCAGGTACGGCCCCCATCCCGCCCGGCTTAGCCTCAGCCCTCCCTCCCCGGCAGCTGGTTGGCTACTGAAAGTTCCACCCCTCCTAATTGGCCGTCCCCAGCGTCGTGGCCCGCCTCTTACTGTCTCTCCTCTGATTGGTTGATGGGCGCAGCTTAATTTCACACCGGATTCGTCAGCCGCTTCCCCGGCCCCGCCCCTTTTACTCCAGTTGCCCCGTCCCATCAGCCCCCGAATCCCACCTTCTCTTCCAGGCTTTTCGGCTTCTCCAGCCACCCCAATCCTTTCCCTCTGAATTAGTCCCATTCTCTTGGCTCCTTTGCCCTCTGAATTCTTTCTTCCTGATTGGCTCCAATTTGGCCCTCCCCTTTTTCTCTTTGATTTGTCCACTACCTTATTTGGCCCCTTTGGTCCAGCCTCCAGCTTTCCGATTGGCTCCCTTCCTTACCTTTCTGACCTACAGCCAGGGTTCCAGATGGACCAGCGATGATCAGGCTGTGCTGTTCAGTTTGACCTCTGACCCACCTTTTTAGTCCTTAGGTCCTTCTGAGACTCTACTTGCCCCTTTCCATCCTTTCCCTTCCTTGCTGTGCTCCTGAATCCTCTAGCCTACTTCACCCCAGAGCCTAGTGAGGATTCTGTACCTTCAGGATTTATTTTTTTCTTTTTGAAACAGACTCACTGTGCAGTCCAGGCTGACCTTGAACTAGAAATCCTTTTGCCTCGGCCTCCCAAATCCTCAAATGGCAGGCATACTCCTCCACGCCTGGCCTTCCTTGCTCTTTTGGCTACTATCTCTTATCAGGGCTCCCCGCCCTTATGCGTGGACCGCGCTCCATCTTGCTGTGCTGTGTTACCTCCCTTCCCTCTGCCTGGCCCAGCCTCAGCCTGATTCTGCCTGTTTCCTCCTCTGTGAATTGACCTTTTCCGTTCTCTGTAGCCCCTTTCCCTGATTCTGCTTGGTTCAGCCTCTTGCCTTGCTCTCAGTCTGCGCTGCCCCTCACCTGGCTGACGCTGTCCCTTGTCCCTGGCCAGGCCTATCTGGACTCTTCGACACTGGCCTCCACCACGCAGGCTCCGCAGGGCCCGACGCCTCCGTCATGAACCTCATCTCGGCCCTGGAGTCCCGGGGCCCGCAGCCTGGCCCTTCCGCCTCCTCTCTCTTATCCCAGTTCCGCAGTCCTTCCTGGCAGACAGGTAAGCCTGGTGCAGCTGCCTGGAGGGCGAGGGTGGGGCAGGCACGCGGGCAGCTCTGACGTGGTCTCCACCGTCCCCAGCCATGCACACTCCAGGCCCCACGGAGCTCTTCATCTCGGGCGCCCTCCCAGGTTCCAGCACCTTCCCATCCTCCTCTGCCCTGTCGGCCTACCAGCACCCGGCTTCCTTCGGCAGCCGCCCCTTCCCGGTGCCCTCGTCCCTCAGCCTCCAGGACCCCCCGTTCAGCCCTCCCGCTAATGGGCTCCTGTCCCCTCACGACGTGCTGCATCTGAAGCCCTCGCAGGCGCCCACGGTGCCCTCCTCGTTGGGCTTTGAGCGCCTGGCTGGGGGTGGCGTCTTGGGGCCGGCAGGCCTTGGCCCGG